GAGGGTTTAAATAGTTTAAAAATTTTTTGGGGGGGGGGGGGTTAACAATTCCACATGTGAACTGAATGTTTTGATGTGGAGACTGTTATGAGATGAAATGTAAAAGAAGTCTTGCAGCAACACTTGCAGCCTTTTGTGGTCTGAACTGACATCCAGCCTATTGGTTTGTGAGGAACTAGTGACATTGATGCATATTGAGCACACTTATTTTTAGATGTTTTTGAACACCTTAATGCGAACCTGTCAGCCATTTTAAACATTTAAAAGTTAAAATCCTACGGCACAAAGTATCTGGTATTTTTTATTAGACTAATGAGCCTCTTCTGTGCGCTGAGCTTTATAGTTGTCTTATGGATTTTACAAGCACATATACATTCATGCTTTATACGGATTCATGGCTGAGCAGTCATCTCATGCTATTATTTTCTTGTGTGTACTCGGTTGGCTTAAACAGTTTAAAACTCATCTCCAGTCATCACCTGATCTTCCAGCTACCAGTTTCTACGGGTACCTTTTTCTTTCGTCAATGAGCTAGTATAGTGGACTTGGCAATTTGTGACACTGATTACAAACCCCACATCCTATCCTTGACCAAAAACCAAAATGCAAGTGAACCTAGATAAATTATTCACAATTTTATGTATTTATGTCGTTTTTAGTGTAGGTGCAGTCTGACCACAACAGGAGTACAGTTACACCGTGCACAGAAATAGCATCCTGTAGCTCCCAAGCAGGAAGCTAAGATGCAAACTGACCACACCAGCACAGACCTGCCTTTATTCTTGGTGTGGTCAGATTCAAACAGGACAGAAGAGGGACTGATTGAATCACCAGGTATCCCAGGAAATGTATACATTAAAAAAAACAGTTTACATTTATACACCTACAAAAAAAAAAAAACAGACACATGAAATAATACATAATAATACATTTTGGGGGAACCATACTATTTAAGCTGTTTACCAGACAGCACTGATCCTTGGGGAAGGTGCATTGCTACACTTGTGTCTCTTCCTGTCTGTTAATCCTATTGAAGAATAGAGTGGCAAGCCTATCTTTAGCCTGTCCTTAAATATCCAAAAGGTCTTTTAATTTGCACGAAGCTACATAGCAAATGTTGCTGATATATAAAATGAAATTTGAATCCAAGTACACCCATGGGTATTTATACGGGTTAAGATTTACAATGTCTTTAATCCATCAAAACTCATTGCAGGGTAAGTCTGTGACTTGTAATAGGTTGTTTTTGTTCTGTGTAAAGCATACCATCTCAATTGTTCTGTTTTAGAGTGATGTAGCTTTTACAACACACATGGAACACATTTCCTGCAATGTTTTACAAAATCCCGAATATTACGGTTTGAATACCTTGTTAATTCTAGGGAAATGACACATGGATTAAAAAAAAAAAAAACCCCGCGATCACAACAGATGAAGTCTAGTTCTGCAATTTGCAACTTGTAGCCAACATATTTTGCCCACTTAGGGCAAATGTATAGGTCCAGTTGCTGGCACTTTTCCTCTTATGCTAAAACCTACCATTGCAGCACTCTTCCACCCCCTACCCTTTCCCCCATTATGTTCAAATACCAGAACCCTTGGGTATACCTAGTACTTCTAAATATGGGAGAGCGTGTGACTTTCACCCTTCCTCCCTTGATGCAGTGCATGGTGCCTAGGAGGCCAATTGCCATTTCAAGCATTGCCATGTGGAATCAGGGGGAACGTCATTTACCCTCTGTAAGCTCCACCACAGACCAACACAAAGCTTACTCAGGGCTCTGGCAGGGCAACAGGCGAGCATGGTAAGGTGAAATATTGGCAGGGGAAAGTGCTATCAAGAGCAACTCTCGCTTTGCCGTAAATACACAGTGATAGGTTCACTTTAGGAGTTGATTTATAAAACTTCTACCCAGGCATGCGCTGAGCAAACATTTTATAAATTGTCCCCCAAGTGATAGTTTGTGAGATACTGGTAGAGTGTCTCTTATACAATGAAGGGTAAAATCTTGCATGATCTATCAGCATACTAAAATTCCATATGACCCAAGGCATAGACTGCATTTATGGGTAAGTGATACCCATATGCGGCAATTGTCAATGTATCATTGCAGCACTTACTGCTCCGTTCCAGCTCTGCAGGTCTGTCTTGCTCTTTGTTTTCTGTTTGTGCATTCATGGTGCGTGGGCAAGATAAGAAAAAGGGGTTGTTTATTTACTACATTTTGTCAGCTGTGTGAAGGATTGAAGCCACTCGATTTGGCTTGTTATATTAAGCAGCCCAGCACGTGGAACCAAGTGTGGAGAGGAGTGATGAGCATGAGGAGCGGGAGCTGCGAGTTATCGCTCACACACAGATGGGTCACACAGCACAGGGCTCCAATTAGCTGCTTAGTATTCACATGCAGAGTCCTGTCTGCTCACAAGACACCTCCCTACACCTGAATAAGAGGATTGTTAGTGACAGGATCTGTGGTTCTGCTTCTGTACACAGCAAACAGCCATCCTCCTGCCTTGTATTTAGCACAGACATGCCTGTGTGCTATACACCATCACATTGACAGACTAAAAAAAGCAATCCAGCCTGCTGCCTCCTCTCTGCATAGCTTTACTGGAGTCTGTAGCTGCCAAGCAAGAGACCTTGATTATAATAATTTAAAAGATTAAACACTGGCTGCCATCTTTCTGAATAAAAAGGGATAAGAGCTCATGCACACTCCAGTAAAATTTTGCAAATTATTGGTAAGCTGAGAGCCTCCATTATGACAGTTCTGCAACAGAAAATGTCTTAACAGGCGTTTTAGATTCTATGTGCCTTGACAAAATGCCACAAATCTGCTTTGTAGGTATGGACAGCAGGATGGTCGTAGTTACTCAGCACTGCTGTGCTCACCTTTGTACATCTGTCTGCTGTGTTCCTTTGCTCTACCACTTTCAAATTATAGTGTATACAGTGGCCACCCAAGGATACCAAGCCAGGTGTCTGACTCAAGCTTTGCATGTGATAGTCGGCATATGAATGCATCAACTAGATAGCGATAAGGAAAACTCTGTCCAGCCCATAGCCATTTTCTGCAGGAAAGGGAGGACAAATCTCTTGCCATGCACACTTAGCTGATCTTAATGTTGCATTTATTGCTAGTGGCAATGTACAGATCTTTTCGACTATTGTTCTTTTAGTAATCTTAACATATATTGTTCTGTAGATTGGCATTTAAAGGAGCTAAATCATAATACATTAAAATACCCTAACTATTAACAAAAATGTACATTATTTGTGCATCACTCAGCCTTAGATCCTCAAATCATCTCTGAATTGGTGCTGACACTGTCCTTCCTTCTGGAGGGGGGGTTACGTTTGTTCCCCATGGTCCCTGTGTGTGTTGTAATGTAGCCACCGCTCCAAGCTCACTCCTGTGATGGACCACAATCTCATGTTTAGTTTTACTAATTAGTATTGAGATTATGGTGTCAGCATGAATACAGAGATTTTAGAATCTACAGCTGAGTGATGCACAAATAAGATACATTTTGTTAATAGGGCACTTAAATGCATGTTTTTTTTTTTATTTAACTCCTGAGTTTAGTGTCACTTTAAGCATCCAGCTAGCAATATACCGTGTTTCCCCGTAAATAAGACACTGTCTTATATTTTTTTTGCCCCCAAATAACACATTAGGTCTTATTTTCAGGGGATGTCTTATTTTTTTAATGTGCAACAAAATGTACAACAATCCAAAGTTATCTGGTGTCACTCCGCCTGCCACAGTAACTGGCGCTATAGAGTAAGTATCGGCTAATGCGGCTCTGCTCCCTCCGCCACCGCAGCCTTGCTTTCTACAGCGCCTGCTTCCTTTGCCATCAGGGACAGCAGTGCAGCAGTGGGGACATCAGACAGTGGACAGTGCGGTAAAGTACAGTACCATTTATCGGTACACATTACAGTACAGTACCTATTACATTAAGCAGTGCCTACAGGGGGGACAGCAGTTAGTGTAGTATGGTACTGGAGTGCTCCCTGTCACTGTGCTGGCCGGAGGGAGTCCCCTGTCATCCCCTTAATACAGTATGTCCCTGCAGGCTGATACCATCTCTCCTGCTCTTCAAGTTCCCTCTCACATGCTACCACCAAACTAGGTCTTATTTTCGGGGTAGGTCTTATATTACAGGAATCTTGAAAAATAGTACTAGGTCTTACTTTCAGGGTAGGTCTTATTTTCGGGGAAACAGGGTATTATAACTTCTTACTCAAAGAACCCACCCTGTGCACCACCACACTGTGAAAGTAACACACTTCCTGTCTTAGTATCACAGTGCTTACTCATACTGTATCTATGAAATCTGTGTTGTCACCCTAGGACACGGCTACGATAAAGGCCTTTTTTGACTGAAATGTCTGGTTTTATGCCTTAAATGTGCAAAAAAATGTTTTCCTAATGTTTATGGTGCAGGGCTTCTGGATGCCTTGGTTATGCCCTGGTCTTCTGTGTGACTGCTTTGGAAGAAGGAGGTGGAGCCATTTGTCTTGTGGGCTTATCAGTGACAAGTATATTTGAACTACTGGACCCCCCCCCCTCTGTTATGGAGAGGGGAGGTGTTTTTTAGTCCAGAGGTAAACCAGTCAAGGTTAATAATAATTAAGAGTGCATAGGGCAGCACTGGATTTCTGGCAGGATCAAAGATAATTTTTTTGTACTCTGAACAGACATAATAAAATGCTTTCAAGGATATATTTTAGGACCTATATTTCATTAAAAAACATAGGCTCATTATTGAGGTTTGCATTAATAAAAAAAGGTGAGTCTCCGCACTCTTGCTGTGGGCATGCCTGGTGTACCGGGCTGTTGTTGGTAGAAATGTACAGGGTAAGATTTGTTTTTTAACTTTTTAATTTTTTAATATTTATTTTTATTCATTTTTTATTAAATAGTATGATTTTGTACTTTACTTTTAGGGGCTTCGGGGAAATATTAGGGGTCTAAACAGACCCATGATATTTCTCTTTTAAAATAGAAAAAGAGACTGAGAACACAAAGTCCTCAATCTCTTTTTCTGTGTCCCCTGTTATCAATGAACAGGAATCCTCTGAGTCTTCCTGTTCATTGATAACATGAACATTGTTTGTTTACTATAACTACAATTATGAATGGGGGTGATGTAGATCACTCCCATTCATTCATAATTGAGCATATAGTTAACATACCATATTCTCAATTATGTACACACACTCAGTGATGGCTGAGTGTGTGTACCTTGCTTTTCTCTCTGACACGATGTCACAGGAGGCTGATCGAGCGGTGTAGAGAGCAACTTTCTTTTCTCCCCGCTGGAACAGCGCCCAGCGGGGAGAAAAGAAACCAGGGATGCGCCGATGTATCGGCCGAAACATGGCTCTTTCGGCAATATGCCAAAAGTGCAATTTTCGGCCGATATATCGGTGCATCCCTAGAAACAACCATGGATTACAGTAAGGCACACATTACAGTATTTTATGTAAAAAAATTTGAGGGTTTAATGTCACTTTTAATAGTGTTTTAAACTTACAAGAACATTTTAGAAGATCCAGACCTGGCGAAATGGATCAGGCAAACTGCTGTTGGGGGCATTTGTGAATTATTCACTTATCTTTATTCACTGTGAATCAGTTGATTTGAACGTTCTCTCCCTTTTTTTTTTTTTTCCATAGGAACACTAACCCAGTTTGTCCTGGTGTTGTATGGCACTGCATCGGATCCTCCAATCCTGCTCAACCAAGTTGATGGTGGAGGATGCAGGACTGTTGCCTCTAGCCAGTCCTGTGTTGGTGAGTATTGCAATGATTTCTAGGTATGACTGGGGGCTTGTGGAGGAGAATGCAGTTTTTCTGCATGACTTTTTTTTTTTGGACATCCATGTTTTAGTGTGGATTTAAACACCTAGTAAGGAGTCAAAACATAGCTAGATTACAGCCTACTGAAAGATATTTTACATTTCGGCAGTAGCATGAGTTTCAAGTTTATCCATGTGTATGTTTAAATGTTCTTGATTTCATTTCTTTGTGAAGGATTGGTACAAGTAATGGTGGTGCTGTAGTAACTTTTAAGCTCTATGAAGGATGTTAAATATCATCTATATAACTCGCTGGTAAGTAGAGGGAAGGCTAGCAGTGGGTGCATCAGGGGGGAATATATTGCCTGAAGAAACTTAATAGTGCTGGGTCTCCATTTTGAGAGTGCAAAATATAATTTCCAGAAAGTTTGTACGCCTCCCCTGCTGCCTTAAATGAAATGAATTGTTAAAGTGACGTTCTCATTTGAAATGCAAATCTCCTACACATAAGAGGCCAAGGAGCTTAGGAAAACAGATTTTGCATTTTGGCAGACTTCATAATATAATTAGATCATAGTTAATAAATTACAGTTTACAAGAGAGTCTATAGGAACAATGTGTGTGAAATAAAAGCCATGTTGGCACTTTAATAACATTTAGAAGCACCAAATTCCTTGAAGGGGACAAGGACATTGCAAGCTTTTACTCTTGGCCCCTGTTGTTCACCACATAATAGCCAATTCCTCATCACCACAGGAGCGTTTTGTAGGCAAGTGATACAGAAAACTTGGTTAAAAATAAAAACGTTTTCAAACTTCTGTAAGTAAAACTGCCTCTTACGCAGTGTCAAAGAGTTAAAAGGCCGCAATGGTGAGGAGGTGGGAATTTGTGTGTCTGACCTTTGGTGATTAAGGCCTCTTGCAGGGCTGTGTATTCTTAACCAAGAGTGTGTAATCTACTGTGAAATGTCACCAGTTTGTCCTAAATCAAACCTCCTGTGTGTGTTCTGGAACATTTCATAGACTTAACTGGAGAATAGGTTAAAAGAGTCATTTCTATTACTCGTTCGCATGAAAGCATATTACAGATATTTCTCTAGAGACAATCCATAATAGATTACTTCCACGTGAAGAGCTTTCATATCACCAATGAGGACCCTTCCTCTTCATGCTAATGAGAAGCTCCAATCTAATTAAGAAATAAATGAGGGGCTTATATATCCCCTAATTAAACTGTTTGCTATGGAACAAGTTGGGTATAGTGGCTATGCAGCACATGTTAGAGTGTACATCTTTGCTGGGGTTTGGCAGGTATTTCTGAGTTTGTGTCAGTATAAGGGTCCCTGTGAGCTCTTTTCACTTTCTGCTGCATCCAAAGAATCCTTCAGAACTTTGCTGATAGCATTCCATGCAAGGTCTGCTGGACTGAATTAGACTTGCACTCTCTAGCGGTCTGCACTAAATCCTTCAGTAACTGCAGCTACGGATATTTACAAAACCCTTTTAAGCATTGATAGCAGATGGTCTGCATACAAAATAGATTCATGTCTCTAATTAGCAAATATTGTAACTATTTCATTTTCCTATGAACGTCTCTTCATTCTACTTTCACTCTGTGCTTGCCTGCTTGTTCCTTCATCCACCTGTTTTTTTAATGCACAAACTCTCAAGTCCTATTTACATAAAATAAGATGTTCCTGTAGCAAGTAATGAACAGTAAGGTTCAAGAGAGGTATTTTACTTGTCCATTGAAGGACGCAAGAAAGCTTTCTCCTTTTGGGTTATACTGCCAACTACAGGAGGATAGGACGCTGGCAAACAAACTCTGGTCCAGCCCAGGATGACCCCTCATACTACCAGCATGACTCACTACTACCTGGCTCACACTCTTACTAACAGTTCCAAGGTAGCTTGCAGCATGTCCAAAGCCTCAAAATTATGTTGCCCCCTGCTCCTAGAGTCTATCCCATTATGTAGAAAATTAAAGCCAAATACACCCATTTATTTGTTGAGTGCAAAGACCCTTGCATGCTCCTGTAAAGCTTCTGTATTTGATCTTCGTGGCTTCTGAACCTTCATCCGCTGAGATTCTTGTCTGATTTTGAGTCACTGCATTCTTTGCCTTATAAGCTTGCTCCTCAAGGAGTCTCGGTCCACTGTTATTACTCCCAAGTTAAGAGACGGTTTCAGCTTTTATCAGTGAGGTGCACACCACTCTGAAACTAGAATAAGGAGGAGGCTGATCCTCTAGTGTTTCCTTTCTTGGGTCCTTTAGAGCCCATAAGTCCACGAAGACTTTGCCATCGCACCCTCCTGATCCAAGTTTTCCCCAATGGAGATTGGAAACGCCCTGGCAAACTGTTTGCTCTTGCTATTTGTGCTTGTTAACCTTGTACCCATTTGAGCAGGATTATGTGAAAACAAGTGGCCTTTGTGGATCTGGCAGATTTCTGCCCTAACAATAGGACTGCCATACCAGAAAAGGATGTGCCTACCTTTTTATAAAAATAAATGGTTAGAAGCCCTGTCTAGAGCTCTTGTTAGTGACCCCTGCTGTTTATCCATCCTGGCTGTGACTATGGTTGACTTGGCAAAATCACAAAATCCACCTTTTGTAAGTGATTGGCATTTATAAAGGTAATGAAGAGGTGCAGTGATGTATTCATGTGCACATTTTCATGACTCCCATTGCAG